GAGGTGATATCTTAATAGTAAATGTGTATGAATCTGTCTTGCCCAAACCTTGGATTGTGAACTTGTATGTGTGATTCTGGACCAAATGTAGATGTGATGCCAAAGTTGCAGCAAAGGATTTCAGAGAAACCTGGTCATGTAAGAAGTGGGTTGGTAAAGCTGGTACGCTAATTCTTTCAGTAGTAAAATCGTACAAATATTTGTAATTAAATCCAAAATCAGGCTGAATGTAAGGGGTGGAATTCAGCTGACTTATACAGTAAACAGTTTCATAGAATAGAATAGAAATAGAATTGAATAAAAGTGAGAGGAGAGGAGAGGAGAGGAGAGGAGAGGAGAGGAGAGGAGAGGAGAGGAGAGGAGAGGAGAGGAGAGGAGAGGAGAGAGGAGAGAGGATGTGGAGGGGACTTTTGAAATTCATCAAGTCCAACTGCCTGTTTCAGGGCTGACTAAAAGTTAAAGTAGTAGGTATGGGGCATCAACCACCTCTCTAGGAAGCTTTTTCCACTGTTTGACCGCCACCTTCACGTAGGAGCTAGTCATTACAGGATTTTCTTTCAGATAGAGAGAATATGTTGTTGCTTTAGGTGCTTCTTAACCTTGAGCTGTCTACTTCAAGATAACATGAGTTGTACACTAGGAGTGCATGTTTGTCTCTATTAACTCTAAGTCCACTTGAGGTATGTGATTGCAGATGTCCACAGTGAGCCCTAAAACACATCTCACTATAGGAGGCAATACAATAGAAGATCAAGACTCCATCAATGTAACTGCTAGCTTAATTAACTTGTGTGGTAGAAAAGAGCTACACAAAAATCAAACATACTGCATGTAAATGTATGCTCAAGAAAAGTTTTGCAGACAGACTGTGCTGTAAAGGCAAAGATCTTCACACAGGACAAAAAACTGCCAAAATGATAGCAGATGCAAACATTGTTTGACCTGCCTATGATGTTTCTGATCCTCATGACAGCTTTAGAAGAACTGCTATGTTTTGGAATAAGTTATAGGCAAATCACTATGTGATCTGCTCCTAAAATTCCATGGAAGAGGTGCTGAAGGGGATACATGACAAGCACCTATGTATAGAAAAAATATAAAAGATCTCAGCTATATCAGCATCATTTTGGTTCATATGAAAGAGATACAGAAGAAACACTTAAAGAATCTGAAACATTAAAATAAATCAGCAAAACAATCCGTGATGTTCATCCAAGAAGAATCAGTTTCATAACCTAGCATGGTCATAAATTATTTTTTCTTTCCTGGAAGAAGTATGTATTCTTTTTGGAAGATTATTTTTAATACTCCAAAATAGTATGATTTGAAAATATGAAAGTTAAATGTGATTCTCAATGGCAAGAACATTTATTACTTTGAATAGCATATTAGTTGTGACAGTGACAAAAGAAGACTGCCATTTGGTGGTCTGTAAATTACACATCCATCAAAATAACCAAGATTTTAGGAATAATACTGCAAATAGGTACAACTTACTGGGCCACAAAATATTACATGAAATGATAGCAAGGTTAATTTTTAAAAGCTGAGGTGGTGAATTCAAATCCTTATTTGTCATATCTGAATTAGTCTAGAGGTACAGGCTGCCACCTGCTGAGACACTGTTGTCAAAAAGTCTGAGCTTCAGAGGACTCATTTTTTATAATTAAACTTTAATTTTTATGCTGTTTCTTTCTTCTTACCTTTAATGCTATGTGCCTCTTGATAGCATCACTGTAACTTTGTGTAAATTTCAGAAGCTCCCTCCGCTGATTTCCCAGGTCACTGTTTGACTCTCCTCTCATCATCCCCTGTGGTTTCAGCGTTCTGAGTCACCTGTTGCGATTTTACAGCCAGACTCGACCACTAGACCCACACTTCTGCCTTTAAAAGATGAGATTAGAGAACATAGGCTCAGGTTCTGTCGTATTGCCATGGGACAGTACAGAGCAATGGTCAAACAAGTTCAAGTCTTTCTGATTGCTTAGTTACCATATGGGCAAAAAAATGGGTATGGTGACCCTCCTGATGAAGGTATAATTGTTGTATTTGCTGAGCAAAGGGGACTGATGAAAAAAAATACGATACCTTTGTAGCATTTGCTATAGAAAGAGAACTTAAGAAGATTTCTGGGTTTTGTAAACACCCGGACCTGAAAGAAACAAAATAGGCTGCAGGGAAACTGGTGGGCTGCATAGCATGAACAGAGATTAAAATTCATAGAGTGCTCTGAACACGGTCATCATTTCAGATACTAAATGAGGATTGCTGAGATGTGATTTGATTAACTTGCAGCGAGTGTTTATCCTTTGGAAGCAGGGTGGTAGAAGGAGATCTGATGCTTCCAAGATGGATTGCATTTACTTGTGGCAGCACAGGCTTTTCACCCAGATTAGTGTAGAAGGAGCAGCCTGGCTCTGTGGGATGTGGGTTTGGGGGGAAATTGTGGTTTCTGCTCAGCAGTCAAACCTCAAAAGGCAATTTTCTGGACTGCATTCACATAATTCTTAAGGCTAGGGGTTCAGATCATGTTCCCTGCTGTAACTTATGATCTCCAGTCTCACCCTCCCACCATCTTTTTCCTTTTCTGTCTTCCACAATCTGTTATTTTTGCAGGTGGGCTCCTGCTTGGTGGAGCGTGGGCTGTGCTGCAAAGCGATTGAGCAAGAAGCACCCCTTGCCCATTCGTGCCAATATTTGGTTGTTAGTGAACAAGGAAAAGATTTTTAAACGCAGTGAGACTCATTTTCTTGCATATCAAATACAGGAATATGATCACCTGAACACCACCTGCAATTCGTTTGTTTCACGTGGAGGGAAAATAGGATTTGAGCAGGATTCTTCTGGTCTGTGGAGTGCTGGTACCCTCTAGTGGTAAAACTGCAAGCATTTTTAGGCTTCTGAGCTTCTGTCTTTTTGAACCAAAATCTGCACATTATCTTTATATGACTGTGCACATTATAATGTGAATTCACACCTAAGTTTAAGCAGCCAATAATGTAATTTCCTTGGTCTGCTTTCACAGTTTCACCTTTCATTAAATCATTTAAATGGTACCTGTGTGCTACTGGGTCATGCAGTGTAAAGAAACGACTGCGATGGAAATCATCAGGTAGCTAAAGCTCAAGCTTTTAATTGGAGAATTAGTGATGGTGCCACTGTAGTGGCTGTAATTTGGTAAATCATAGTTTATAGCTGGTTGAAGGAATCACATTGTCTTGGTTGAGTTAGCATCATTTTGCTTGTGGAGGTGCAGGAATTGTGAGTCAGCTAGTGGCTACTGGCTTTATGACTGCAAGATGGGGACAGCAAGTTATGGTGTGACAAAACCAGCTTGAGGGCATGGCAAGAATTTCACATAGGTACTAAGTTAACTGCTTACTGTCTTGACTTAGCATGCATGTGGTTATAGGTTGATGGCAACAGACATGTTCTAGACTCAAAGGCTGTTTCCTGTCAGCCACATAACCCTTCCTCCAGAGCATGGCTGGTGAGTGGGAGAAGGAGAAACTTGTCCAGAAGTCCAGAGTGAGTCAGCATGAGCAAATCCATGTATATCTGTTCTAACCTTTCTCAAAAGGGCTGATCTGAATTTTTCCAAGTGATTATACTGGCATAGAGACTTCAATCTGAACAACCTTCAGGGCCTGGAAAATTACAGCATCATAACCCTTCAGGGTTTGCTGGGAGCTGTTTCAGTGTTGTCCATTCCTTGCATGGAAGTATTGTCAGGGTGTGCTCTCTTAGCCCCATGTTTTCCCATACACAAAAGAAACAAAAGTCCAGGACAGGTTAGAGGAAACATATCCAAGCTGAGCCTTGTGGTCATCATTCTCTCTGCCTCCATATGTGGACTGGACTATGTCCATTTCACCCAGTGAAACAAAGTATAACAAGACATTGCACTTCATGTATCAGATTGAAATTCAGAACAGGAATTACACAGTTCAAGTCTTAACAAGACTTTTTTTTTTTCCCCCCTGGATGATTTCAGTGCCTAATGCCTATCATTTCTTTGATGCGTTCTAGCAAAAGATCCAGAGCTTTTACAGAGCTGTCCTTCCCATTTACTCACTAAACTATGAAGTATTTCCATGCCCACTGGCCCTCTGTTCCTGTGGATCTGATTTGAGAGCACGTTCAAAATGCCCATGAACTGGGTACATTAAGTACTAGAATACAAGCTTACCCCACTCTGCTTCACAGCAATCACTTACAAGACTCCCTTGATTTTTTCCTACCTATTTATCTGTAGAAGATTTTTAATAGCTTGAACCTGGAAATAGTTTTGTAAAGCAGATCAACATGACTTCAATTTGGACTGAATTGGATTTACGAGCTGTGGGAGTTAAATTTTCTGTCAAATCTCTGAGTTCTGGGTCTTCACAGACAATAGAGGCAGTGATTTATCACATATTGGGTTTATTGGAGAGCAGAACTTTACCCTCTCTACTGTCTCTCTTTCAAGCTTTTTCATCTTTTCAAGCTTTTTCATCTTTTCATCTGCATAGAAACGAATGCAAAAAGAGAAGTGGAAAAAAAAATAAAAAAGAAAACCAGTGTGGTTTTCAAGGGAGAGTTTGTCCCAATGCTGTGTTGTATTGAAGCATTTGCTTTTTCTCTAGTCTCAGTATGTGCCAAGTAGATTAATTTCACTGCAACCACAGTGCCTTTTTATGAAGCACACAGAACATCAGCTTGAAATAGAAGACCTCCTGAGCATTACATATCTTATAAATCCCTTCCTGACATGCAGTACTATCTATTTTCTTCCTAAAGAATGCAACAGAGTTAATTACCATATGTTTGTCTTGGAGTCATTTTGTAATAGGTTATTGCCATGATTTGTTAACTTCCAAGTCTCCCTTGGTCTTCCTGAGAGCCCACTCCACTGCTTACTGATCAGAAGTACATACCTCCTCTATCTAAACAAGCAGTATCTCCCACACAAATACAGAGCAGTAATATTCTCTTGGCTTCTCCTTTTTGTTTCACTCCAGGTTTCTGATTGTTTTGGGATGTTTGATCTTAGCTGTCCTGACAACTTTCAAGGAGTATGAAACTGTTTCAGGTGACTGGCTTCTCTTGCTGGTAAGTAGTCTGTGGCCAGCGTGTCACCCTGCTGATCGTGTCCCTGAACAGAAATCAGTTCCATCAGCAGTGATGGAAACTTGCTCTGCATGCAGTACAATTTCTTCTGTGGGTACTGGGACAGTGACTGAGCTTTTACGTATTGGAGAATTCCCAGTTCATTGTCAACATCAACTGAGTATAAAGGAAGAAAGAAAGACTACTAGCCTAAGATTTTTAAATAGTGAGTTTTCAGTATTTCCCAGCAGTTCTCCTTCTAAAGTACCAATAAATCACCTATTGATCAGACTAGAACTCAACACTTTTGAAAACTCAACTGTAAGAAAACACCTTCATCTGCTAGGGAATTTGAATCTCACTTTTGTCCCTGTTGCTCTGCTCTGAGCCATCTATTCACATTTGAGAAAGCCTGAGGTAATTTCTCCTGTGTCTGCTTTTACATGGCTCTCAGCAGTTTTCAGAAATGGGCAGCAGCTGGGGGTATGAATGTTAGGGAAAATCCTCCTTTCCTCTTTATCTCATATTTCCAGAGCCCCATGATGCTCTTGTCCCATCACCTTCAATCACTTTGGAAAATTTCTCTTCTCCTCATTTCCTTTTCGTGCCTAGAAGAGCTAAAAAATTCCCCAGTCATTAATCACAATAGAAAATCCTATTTTTCTTTGCAGAGAAACTGAGAGTGATAATATATGCTTTAAATTTGTCATATATATGCCCTTATATATATGCCTTAAATACTACCATATGAATACACTTGCTCCTGTCCTTGTCTCTTCAGACGTGGTTCCATGAAGGAACAACTGGTAAGCACTTCATATATACCCAGTAGGAAGAACACATCCTATACACAGATGACTTAACAAGCTGTAAAACTATGTCCCACTTTTCCTCGACTCTCATGAACTTGTGTTCTCTTCCCTGCTTTCTTCCTCTCTCTCTTTCTCATCCCTGTCCCCAACATTTGCACCTCAGTTTGCAACTCTCTTTGCTTCATCTATTGCTGTGCATCCAGCCTTACTGCAAAATTTAAGTCTAACAGTCTCCTTTGTGTCTTTAATGCAGGAAACCTTTGCCATTTTCATCTTTGGAGCAGAGTTTGCCTTAAGAATCTGGGCTGCTGGGTGTTGCTGTCGCTACAAAGGATGGAGAGGGAGACTGAAGTTTGCCAGAAAGCCTCTGTGCATGCTGGGTAGGCACATATGTTGTACTTCTGTTTGCCTTGTTAGGTCCTTTTCCTTCTGAGCCACGTTGGGAGGATATGCAAAAACCAGCGAAAGGCAGTACAAAGAGCACCAAAGTCAGCCCAGCCTCTTGTGCTAGGAACTGTGTCATGCTTGGAGTGGTTATTTGTAATAGCTGGCAATAAGAATTCATGTAAGATGTGCTTGGGTGGTTGGCCAATGAGAAAAAATTGATCCTTGTATGGTTTGAATACATTTTTCTTGTCCTGAGCCCAACTGTTTTTTTCTCAAGTTCATCACAAAATGTACACAAAATGTCTTCAGTTTCAAAGCTCTTCAGATCCTAATGCTATGCTATCTTTCCCAGCCCTATTTCATATTCAGAGGCTGTATTTTACCTTTATAATGTTGGTCTGTATTTACAAACAAGTATCTTTGAGATTTCTCCCATTTTATCCTTCAAATTTGGTAGGCATTACTTACAACTAGCCTTGGAGCTACTCGTTATCCACCTTTGAATCCCCTCCAAGAACTCCTTTGTGTCCACAAGACCAACTTGCCAACATGCAGGAGCTCATTCTGCCTGAGCACTGGTCATTCATGTTCACATTCATTCATTTTTTGTTTTGTTATTGGCACTAATTTGTTTTGAGAATGATTGAAAATGAGTAACTCTGAAACTCATCTGGAAACACTGTTTTTGGCTGGAAATAAAATATGAAGACAATTTGAAAAATGAGAGCCCAGATAATTTTTTTTAACTCCTTTGGTACCACTTGTATGAGGTTGACGAGTGAGGTGAATCAAAGGGGGGCAGGGGGGAGGAGGAGGAAGAAAAAACAAAAAAAAAAAACATGCAAATCAGAGCAACCAACAAAAAGATGCAGTGATCTGTAGTTTGGATTTCCTTGGTTGATCAGTGAATTGGCAGTGTGTGCTTACACAGATTTTAATAGGAAAACTCAGCCAAAAGAGCAAAAAACTACATGTACTATATACATATATATAGTATATATATGTGTGATGATCTCTAAGTCTGGTTCTCTGTGGCCTTCTTGAGGGACATAAGAATTCAGGTTTTTGTAGTGGTGTTTTTTTTCTGTCAGCATTAGCACACTGTTTCTCTGCATCCCTATGCTAGCTCAGCCAGTGTCTCAAATACAGCATATTGATCTGTAAATAGATTACAGGGCTGTCTGTTGAGTTCTGTGCATGACTCCGTGCTCCAGGTGCAGGTACCTGATTAAATGGCATGAGCAGGCATTTTCAGGCAGCTTTAAAATTTGCCTAGGGAAATTTGCAGCACAGCCATATGGGATTAAGAACTGAGTGATGAGGCCACTTTTGTTGGCAGGCTTTGTTCTTTTCACCTTGCAGATATCTTTGTGCTGATTGCTTCAGTGCCAGTTGTTGCTGTTGGGAACCAGGGCAATGTTCTGGCCACATCGCTCAGAAGCCTTCGCTTCCTTCAGATCCTGAGGATGCTCCGAATGGACAGACGAGGTGGCACATGGAAACTCCTGGGATCAGCTATTTGTGCACATAGCAAAGTAAGTGAGGAGCTTGCAAGACTCAGTTGGGGCTGGGGCCTGGGAGAGAGATACTGAAGTGGAAGAGAGGGGACACATACGTGCAGGAGTGCCTTAGGATTATTTCTAGCAGCAGTAATCATAGAATGATAGAATCATTAAAAATGGAAAGTCCGCTAAGATCATCTAGTCTAACCATCAACCCATCCCCACCATGCCTACCACACCATGTTTCTCAGTGCCACATCTACATGGCTCTTGATCACATCCAGGGATGGCGACTCCATCAATGCCCTGGGTTTCCTCTTTCCAGCTTCATTTCCTTCTTCACACTATGAACCATTTGTGCCACTTGTTTTACACTCCCCTACTCAATAGTGATATTTGGAAGTGGCAAGAGTGAGCATCTGTTCTCACAGACATTGCAACAGGAATTTTGTCATTACACAGAATGAGAGCAGGGACATCCTTTTAATAGTAAAGTACGCTGAAATCTTTGACAGAAATGCCTGTGTAGTTGCAACCTATCTTTAGTGGCTTCACAGGTTGTGTGATCACCAGATGGAGCAGGACTCCAGAGGGATGGCAAAAGACTGGCTGGCAGAAATGTCATTTCAGAAGGACCTGCTGGTAGAACTCCTCTTTGGAAGCATGGGTCAGACAATACAGTGACGCACACAGTGTGAATCCAGACGGACAGAATTTCTAAAATCATCTTTTCTCAGTCTAACTGCGTGCTACAGTCAGACATTCTGTCTCACACCAGAAAGATTCATTGTGATTTTTCATTTTCAACCAAGTAATATTACAAGTTAAAAACTATCTCCATAAAAAGCTTTTAGATTAGATTTCTCATATGTGCTGGGTGTAGAAAAACTGTGCTACATACTGTTTTTTTGTGGTTTTTTTTTTTAAATCCATGAATGACATTCATGACATTTCAGGTTTTTTGAAAATTAAAATGCCAGCTGGCACAGCATAATTAGACTTTACTTCTTTGTAGTGGCTGATAGGGATGCCCTCCTTCATTTCATACCAACTTCTGTTTCCTCCCCATAAAGCTTGCTACAAGGCAGGTGGCAAATAAACACTTATGTCTAAAATGTTTCTCAGGAAACTGAGATCATGGAAGAAATGTATGTGCTAAGGATATTGTTTAGAAATTGTTTAAAGCTTCATAGTGTGGGATTTTTTTCCCATCATTCCACATTGATTTCCCATCACCACCTTTTGGATCTCAGCTGAATGAGAAAGACAAAAAGAGGTTATGAGAAATTTGCTTCACTGGAAGACAGTAAAGAAACAATTTTATTAGCAAGATTCACCAACAAATTGCTATCTGTGTTTGCCCACCAGAAATCAGCCATAAACTAAAAGAGAGGAAATTTAGATTAAAAATTAGGAAAAATTGTTTACTCATAGGATAGTGAGGCAATGACACAGGCTGCCCTGAGAAGTGGATGCCCCATCCCTGGAGGTGTCCAGGCCAGATTGGATGGGGCCCTGGACAGCCTGAACTAGTGAGCAGCAACCAGCCCATGGCAGGTGGGTTGGAGCTCAGTGATCTTTAAGGACCCTTCCAACTGAAGCCATTGTATTGTTCTATGAAAAAAAGGTGACATCTCAAAACTCAGTTATGAAATTCTCAGCTGCAACCCTTTCTTTGGTAAAAACAAACAAACAAACAAACAAACAAACAAAAAATAGGAATCAGAAAATGAAAAACATTTAAATATTGACTTTTTACTGCTTGTGAACACATTTTGCTCTGTTTCAGACATTGCTGAGATTGTAATTGTGTCATTGCATCTCCCACCTCAATAGGATTAGGCACATGCTCCACTGCAGTTACTCTCTAAAGCAAGCTTAGATTTTGTTTTAACAGCTTAGATTTTGTTTTTCTTTTAAATTTTTGAAGATATGTTCTCGTTGCATCATTCCATGCTGAAAGGAAACCTTGAAAGCTGCTTTGATATGCCTAAAGAGAAGAAACTGCATTCTGCAGCCTTGACTCTCGCAAGTTGAAGAGAGCATAGCCATTAATTTGCCTGCTAAAACCCTCCAGCCCTGGGCAAAAGGACTGAGAATGACTTAAGGCTTAAGGTCAGGGATACAGTCCCGTCATGGTGCAGCTAAGCTCTTAGCTCAGCTTTACTTAACTTTACAGCAACTTTGCCAGTAAGCGCTGAGCTACGCTCATTGTGGAATTGTGACCAACCTTCCAGTGACTGCTCTGCTATTGTCAGTGCTTCTCTCCTGACAATTACACTGACACTGTGGATTTTGAGTCTGTTTTCAGCCCCTTCATTGTCCATTTGTTTCTTTTGCAGGAGCTCATCACTGCTTGGTATATTGGGTTCCTGACACTCATCCTGTCCTCGTTTCTTGTTTATCTGGTTGAAAAAGATGTGCCTGAAAAGGATGCTAATGGGGTGGAGATGAAGGAAGAGTTTGAGACCTATGCAGATGCATTGTGGTGGGGCCTGGTAAGTGAATCCAAAAATTCTTTATGATCTTCTTAAAAACCCTGTATCTAATAAGTATTGGTGTTAGGGTCTAAATATAAGTGCTGCTAAATTTGAGTGAGCGGGATGCTACTGGTATAACATCACCAATAGTAAGAACGCCACTAAAATCAATTATCAGAATTTATCTCTCTGTGGATATCTAGTCAGGCAGAGGCTCTTAGGTACTTAAAGCCTATAGAGATACCAGTCTGTGCTCTGAATTCTAGGAAGGCTGTTTTGGAGGAGGGTCTCTAAGTATAACTTTACTGGTAGAGCGTATGCATAGGGGCAGCCAAGTTCTTACAGCAGCGGTGTCCATCTGTGAGATCTACATCCTTCAGCAAATGACAAAAGTAGAGCTGGTACAAAGTCTGTTTTGTAGCAACATGTGTCATAGGTCTGGGCAGTATAGGTAGATGCTGATGGAAGTTAGATCTACAAGGAGCCACTGAGACCATTCTCCTGAAAATCTCTCTGGATTCACATATAGAAGGGTAGAAAGATGTCTCTGAAAAGAAATCTACATGTTGCTTATGTCTTAAATGGATTTGACAGGAATCGCTCAAGAAATTCCGTTGATGGTAGGATACTGACCAAGAGGGATTTTTAATACTCCTGTTCTTATACTGTTTTGCACCACTGCTCATTTGATCATGTAAAATCCTTGCCATCTTGTACAGAGAATTGATGTTTCTTTACTATCAATAGTTATGGGAACTGACTGTATTGTACAGAATCTGTGACTAAAATTCAGCAGCATATTTTTTTTATTCAGTACAGTTCTTGTAAATGGCATGATATGTGGCATGGGAATTGGAACTAGATGATCTTTGAGGTCCCTTCCAACCCAAGCCATTCTATGATTCTATGATTCCTCCTTCACCTTTTCTATTGCTAACCAAAAGATGATACACAGGATTGTTGAATATTTTTAGTAGGAAGTTCAGGTAGGGTCTCATTTGAAGGGTCATATTTGAAAAACAAGGATTAGCAGTTGTGTAGGAAAGGAATAAGTTTTCACAAAATTATCTTTGCTTCTTAGTGACTGGGACTTTAGGAAGAGGTAGCCCTGACTTGTTGTTAAAGCTCTGCAAACTGTTAATAGGGAAGTTGCATTCCTAACTGTGCACTGACAGTAGGCATGAGGTTTGGTCTTTGTGCCACATCTGTTCCCATTCAGTAGATGCATCCTAGAGAAGCAGCTGATTTAAGATTAAATCCATTCTTCCAGATGCAGTGCCTCTGGACTATGAGATCATGAAAAAGACTGACTGGCCAATCATAAGGATTCTGTTTTAAGAAGTTTTGTGCGAGCATCCGTAGAGCTAATTGAGTGACACAGGTTTGATAGTGATGTTTAAAACACGGTTGCTGGTTTTGTTTTACTTATGGGAAGGCCTGGCGTTCTGCCCACAGATCACCCTGGCTACAATTGGGTATGGTGACAAGACTCCCAAGACGTGGGAAGGACGGCTGATTGCAGCTACATTCTCACTCATTGGAGTGTCTTTCTTTGCTCTTCCTGCAGTAAGTAACTTCTTTCTCCTCCCTTAGCCACAGCCCAGAGCTGTATGCTTGCAAAAGGATGATAAAGTGATCAAAACTTCCAATGGAACCAAAACTTATTATTAGAAGTAATTCAGACACTTGAGCTGGTCTATATTAGTAAATAACTTTGGTCTATGCTCTGCTTCCTGAAGACAAGTAGGATGCTGCTATCAAAATTCTTTATTCCCAACTTTACATGCAAACTACTGGATATAATATGTCACCCTGATAATTTCTGAACCATGTGTGAACATCGTCTGAGACAGTGTTAGTTGGCTCAGGCCAGAACAAATCCAGCAGGTGAATGATCTGGGCAATCACAGGACATCTTGAGCTTGTACTCTAGCCTGCATTAGTTTACTGGTATTGACATAGCCACACAAGACATACTTTTAAAATATTTGGGACCTATTGATCTAGGGTTGTGACCGTTTTACTGAGCTCTAAATATTCGCAAGCCAAAGATCTGTATTTGAGTGATCATTGCAGAGCACTGGCCATTCTATAACTTAAAAAGAAATACATTACCTGAACACTTCCAGCTTGGAAAGGTGGTAGGCATTCAAGAAGCTTGCTGAGAATCTAAAGATGATTTGGAGTGGCTTTCGTCACATGGGAGGTGCAAAGCAACCTCCTCAGTGGAGCAGTTGAAAAGACATAATGTACTGCAGAAGGGTTCTGTGTAGCCATCCTCATTCTCATCCACAGAACAATTTCCTCACAGAATTTCTCCACTTTTCCTGAATAAAAAAGTGCTTAAATTTACCCCATCTCTAGAAGTCTTAAGGCCATCTTGAATGGGACCCTGTGCAACCTGGTCTGGTGGGAGGTGTCTCTATCTGTAGCAGAGAGTTGGAATTAGATGATCCTTAAGGTCCCTTCCAACCCAAGTAGTTACTTGATTTTATGATAAAATCTTGCATCACTCTATGCTTTCAGGGTATTTTGGGTTCAGGATTGGCACTGAAGGTCCAGGAGCAACATCGTCAGAAACATTTTGAGAAAAGAAGAAAGCCAGCAGCTGAACTCATCCAGGTTTGCAGCCACTTCTCTCATTGAAAAAGTGTTGTTTATGAAGATTTTTGCATAATGCAGCAAGGACCTCCTGTTCCCTCATCCCCAGTTCTCATTTGTCATTGCAGGATGTAAGAAGCTGTATTTGTAAAGAAGAAATATTTTTCACATTGAGCTAGATAATCCGATGGTCCTTGCAGTTCTTGAGGGATCTCTCCATTTCCATAATGTATCTTAGAAGAAAGGTGTCATTAGAAGAAAGACACCCATCTTCTTGCCTCTGGAAACCAACAAAATTCTATGTCAGCCTTACAAAATCACAGAAAACATGCTGTTGAGAACATATTCTTTCCAAAATCCAGGTTTTGTTAGTTCCTTTGAGAAAGAATTTTATGTGGAAACAAAGTCATGTTGTTATTGTGAAAACAGCAACAGCAGTGACACAACAGACAGTAACTAGCTCAATCTAGTCAAAATGCCTAAGTAGTATGTATGGTTTGTAAAAGTTGAAACATGCCATTGGGTCTTCTGTTATGTTACTGGACGATCAGAGGACTCAATGGGAAGAGTCATCTTAGCTCATTCAGTCTTTTATTCTGACCTTTGTTATGGTTTCAGAAATCTGCGTATAGAATTACTTGTCTTGAGACTGACTAATTACTCAGCATAGTTGTGGAATGCATCCTGAGTGCAGCGAAGCAAATAATAGCATTTCCACAGAGGGACATAGAAGCTTTTTGTGACATCACATGGAAATGTTGGTTTTCATTATAAATGCTGTTCATAAACAGGAGTTGCAGGAATGAGCAATGAATGGAATTTACTGCTTAAATTTACTGCATATCCACTTAGCAGGCAGCAAATTTAGTCATAATATTTTTAACTGTATGCTTTGAGAATTATAGATTGAGCTCAGCAAAATTTCCTCTGATGGTACATTAGATAGTAACCAATTTAATCACTTCTAGAAATATTGCACAAGTTCAGCAGTCCTTGGTTCTCTCTCAGGAGTATGCAACAGGAGAATAAAACCAGTTTAGTCAACTGTAATCTCTTGTTTGCACTGGTGGTACTTCCTCCTTTAATAACCTCCCAGATCAAAAGTCAGTGTTAATAATTTTGTCATATATTGCCACTCATTTGGTATGACTCATTAGTAATTCATTTCCAGATAGTCGCTCTGGTGAATCATTATGGTCTTTAAAATAATCTGTCTGTTTTCAGACCGAGGAATAGCCTTGCCTTATACTGATTATTGTCTCATCCTTGAAATCTCCAGGCTGCCTGGAGATACTATGCTACTAACCCCAACAGAATTGATCTTGTTGCTACCTGGAGGTTTTACGAATCAATTGTATCATTTCCATTTTTCAGGTAAGTGAATTTCACACCTTTCCATCACCATTTTCTGTGAAGTTTAACTCAGGACAGGATGTATGGAGTTTTGTATATAATGAAGTTTTCATAGGTAGCAGAGAGTTGCCAGTTACCATTTTCCTAGTTGAGAGTGAAAAAAATGCTTTTGACTTCTGGCTCCATGGGTGCATGGACAACTCCTTTTGTTGTCTCTCACGATGAGGTTGAACAAAAGAGAAGCTTGCCTTGCAATCAGCTTCCTTTTGTAAGACTTTGGAGTTTATTGATCTGGAAATCTCAATTTCTCCCTCTGCAACTTTGATCCTGAGAAAGTCTGAGCCACAAGCACCTGCACTTTTCACATTTTCTAGGATGCAACCGTATATTTTAAGATGGGCTGTGCTGAAAATTCTTACTTTTCCCTCTCCAGTTCAAGCAGTCTGAGAAATGTGTTATCACAATGGTGGCCATGACACAAGAACACAATTAATACTTGTTAGATGTTTATTTTTTGGCAATACTATGTGCTGATGGGTATAATTCAGTGGAGGACAGTCAAGGAATGTCTAAAACTGTCCTGATGCTGTTCATTGAAGGTTCAAAAGAAAACTTTGTTGGTGAGTTGAGGTCATTATTTTTTTAATCCTAATTATGATCACCACTCCAGAGTTCAGTGGAAAGCATTTCATGCATAAAACATTTATAATTAATTTGTGCTTGTAAGTTAATGGGTGTCTGACTCAATTTTTCTTGTTTCACCTTGAGGTATTAACACAAAAATGCCCATTAAATGCCCATTCTTTTAGATATAGATTATCAGTTGCTAATAATGGGTATTAATTAACAAAGCATATCATTTCAACATTCATTCTGGGCTTGCTGTTATGCTTCATTCTGAAAACAAGTGCTCTTAACCCGTTGCTCAGCATAGATGAGCTGTACTCACTATGCTAGTATGGCAGTGCCAGCTGTTTCTTAAAACTGACTTGAAGAAACTTTTCAGTTTCCTACCTTCTCAAAGGGAAAATCATAATCAAATATTACCTCTTTCTTTGTTTTATTCACAGTGTATTTCTTTAGAACTAATCTCCCATCAGTCCCAAAGGAAATCTCTAAGAAAAAGCACAAGTGTTTAATTAAGGCTCAGTATATTTCTTTTTTGTATCCCTTCTTACTCTGTATTTATTCCCACATTATCCATTACACTGATTCCTACAAGGTTCCTTGTCCTCACATTTTGTTCAGAGAACACTTCTCATGTTCACCTGATGTCTAGACTCACTACTATGTTTTCAAACTTGTCCTTTGTACAAGGTTCTTCTGTGATTTAAACATAACCTGAAATTTAAGAGGTGTTTTGCAAATAAGGTCCTGGGAGAGAGGGCAAGAGATTGACTTCTCATCAAAGCCTGGATTACCATTCTTAGCAACGCAAATTGGTTTCAGTGAACTGTATCATTTACAGTTTGTGACTAGCTGAAAATGTAGTGTCAAAGCTTTTAATTCTGTTGTCAGTAATGACCTGATCACAGAACAAAATAAGTGTATACAATTAACAATAGATTAAAAATTTCCATTAAAAGAATCTGCTGGATTTATTGTGTAATTCTTCTTTCCTTGGTTTCTTATAATGCTTCCTCTCTTCTTTAAAAGGAAAGAGCAATTGGATGGTACTGCCAGGTATGCCTCTGTCATTATTAAAGTCTTCTTTTAATACATTATTGGAGAATGTGGGTTAAATGGTTCTTTGTGGATTTGTGAGCTGTTAACAAAAACATGCTACTAACACCATAGGTAGTCATTAAAAATGTTTAACCAATCCATTTCTTAATTGCTTGCTTTTTTCCCAACTTAACAACACAGCTAAAATGCTAATCGTACAACTGGAAAGTGTTGCTTGCTGACTGTCTGTAAACAGCTTTATTGTTCATTATGATTAATCTCTATAGAGATTCTATATTAGTCTATAGAAATTTCTCCTGATCTATGCTATAGGGGCAGAGTTAAGCATTCAGGTTGTTCTGCAGTGAATTTAAAGTTCTGTCTCATGTTATTGCTCAACAGTACCACACAGAGCAATGTTTTGATGGAAGGGATCAGGTCTGTGTCATTTCAACATATTCTCAGATTTCTTGATGATAAATATGAAGATGAAAGGCTAGGGTGGATCAATAGGATAATCAAGCTCTCTCACTTTACTACAAAGGCTACAGTAGAGTTAAGGGCTTGTTCTTACCTCTGCTGAAGTAGATGGGAAAGTTCCCAGTAACTTTGGGGCTTTATAAGCAAAGAGAATGAAAGAATAATTCCTAATACTGATTGGACATTGAAGACTACAGCAGAGCAGACCCTGTTAGTGAACCTACAAGGTCTCAGACATATTTGGACATGAATTATTCATAACCCCTCCAACAAAATTACAGATTTGAAAGCACATAAAAGAATTCAATCTCTTAGGTCAGACACATAAAGCACTTAAATGCTAAACTACTATCAATGGATCATCCACAATGAAAGTCAATAGGTATTAAAAGATAAATAGTTCCACAAAGACTTATGATTAAGCTGTCTCCATTTTCATTCCCATTTAAAACATGGAGAAAATGAGCAAGAATTGTAGGAAAAATTGTAAACTGAATTACAACCTCCTAGAGAAGTTCCTGTACCTGCAGTGACAGAACAATTCCTGCAGTATTTTCTGAGCTGTTCGTTCAGTTAGTCCAGTAGAAGGCATTAACATGGATGAATTGGATTAGAAACTGATAATTATGATGCTCAGCCCAGAATCTTTAAAATCGTAATCCCATGGCCCTCGTTCTAGAAGGTTGTGTTGCTTTTATGTTGTTAGGTAAGTAACAACCTTCAGCAAAATCATCAATCCTGTATGGGAACCTTAGTAGCAATATGTTTAAAGAAATAAGCATTATTAAAAAAAACAGATTGGAACTCCTCCAGGTAAACAGACAAATGATGGTACTTGTGGAAGCATCCACTGACTTCAGTAGATATGAGACTGAGCTCTAATCTGCTTGTTTTTACAGTTCCATGTCCCATCTCTCATAAAACTCTCGTTTATATCAACTGTGGTTGATAATGGAGAAAGAAGAATTGGTCCAAATCTTTCTCAGAAGAGTCAGAAAAAATAAACAGTTAATAAAATAAGAAGGATGAGAATAGATTGGAATTACTGGCTGAGAAGATAATGTCCTGATCAAGGCTTTGGGTGCTATGATCTTGGTCGGGCCTTTCAGAGAGCAGGCATGTGGGCTTCAGACAGAATGCAATTGAGAAAATGGGACAAAAGTGTTCTGGGGAGCAATCTGGCTGGATTGATTAGCAGAGCTTTAAACTAGATTTGATGGGGGAAGGGGATGGAGCTCCTTGTGACAGAGAGGGTCTTGGTAATGCTGCCTTAAAAAGTAAACGCTGGAGAAATGTCTCTCAATTGTCTAATTGGATCTTGTAATTACTCTTCAAAGAAGATAACATTATCAATAGACTGGCTTAAACCTTCCTGCATCCTTCTAGAGATACCTGCACCCTCTGCTTCCCTAAAGTGCCTGTATACCAATGCACAGTACGGGAAATAAACAGGAAGAACTAGAGATCTGTGTGCGATCACAGAGTCATGATCTCATTGTGATCACAGAGACACGGTAAGACAGCTCACATGACTGGAATGCTGTCATGGATGCCCATGTCCTCTTTCATAAAGGAAGGCTGATGAGGCAGCGTGGTAGAGTTCCTTATGTGAGACCAACTAGAAAAAATTGAGCTCCCCTTCAGGGTGAAGCAAATGGATGAAGCCAGGCTCTTCTTGATGGTGTGCTGCAGTAGGAAAAAGAAGTAATGGCCTAAAGCTTGAACATAGGAAGTTCTGTACTAACACATGGAAGAACTTTACAGTAAGGGTGTGGAGTACAACAAGAAGCTGCCCAGAGAGTTTGTAGAGTCTCCTCCTATGGAGATATTCAAGACCCTTCTGGTCACTTATTTGTGTGACCTCTAGTAGGATGCCTGCTTTAGTGGAGGAGTTGGACTCAGTAATCTCTTGAGGTCCCTTCCAACCCCTGTGATTCTATGATTCTTTGAAAATTAAAGAATTAAAAAAGCGTGAAAATGTCAGAGTTTCTATTCTGCAACATGAAAGCTCTTTAGGAACTCCATAGAGTTGAATTCTATGGCAGATCTTTCTAGAACCTGTCCTCCAAGCAGGAGATGGCAGCGTAACAAAAAAAAAAAAAAAAAAAAAAAAAAAAAAAAAGGGCAACTCCTTGCTCTTAGAACATTTGGGAAAAACACAGGATGAGGCAATGAGCAAAGAGTCCATTTCAGAAGTTGAATGCCAAGGCCAGTTTGTAGGGAAGGATTCGTGGTAGTAGAAAGCTAATTAAAATTTGACAAGAGCCAAGGCTTTACTGAAGCTTACTTTAAACTAGAACTAAAGATGTGAGATGCATTGAAGAACATGTTGACCCACGCAGTGGGCTGGATCTTGTGAGTACTGAAGATGTTTGCTGTGTTGCTCTGTTAAGAATAGCTCTTTTATTACATACCTGCAAGCCCTGTACATGCCCAAAACCAAGAGTAACTGATACTGTGCTCTTCACTGCTTACTGGTGGGGAGTGTGGTGACTTCATGCTGCAGATGCCATTAGCTGTTTCTTCCTTAATCAATGCTTTAAGCTGCCAGACTTACTGAAAAGGACCTGAGAGTGAATAGGAAGCTGGACATGTGCCCTCACAGCCTAGAAAGCCAACCATATCCTGGGCTGCATCAAAAGAACATGGCCAGCAGAGTTAGTGAGGTGATCCTGCCCCTCTACTCTGCACTGGTGAGACCTCACCTGGAGTACCACATCCAGATGTGGAGTTCTCAGTACAGGAAAGATATGGACCTGTTGGAGCACATCCAGAGAAGGGCCACAGAAATGACAAAAGGGGTGGAACACTTCTCCTGCAAGGACTGCCTGAAAGAGCTGGGGCTGTTCAGCATGGAGTAGAAAAGGTTCCAGGGAGACTTGATAGCAGCCTTTCAGTATCTAAAGGGGAACTACAGGAAAGAAGGGGACAGACTCTTTAGCAGGGTCTGTGGTGATAGAACAAGGGGAATTAATTTTAAGCTGAAAGATAAGTAGATTTAGGTTACATATAAGGAAGAAGTATTTTACATTGAAGGTGGTAAGGGACTGGAAGTGGTTGTCCAGAGAAGCATTGGGTGCCCTGTCCCTGGAGACTTTCAAGGCAAGGCTGGATCAGTCCCTGGGCTGCCTGCTCTAGCTGTGGTGTCCCCATTCATTGCAGGGGAGTTGGACTAGATGACCTTCAGAGGTCCCTTCCAACTGTAAGGATTCTATAATTCTATCAAATCTCAGATAGCAATTGTGTCTGTAGAGAAAGGATGTTTTCCTGTTTCCATCTGATCTGAAGACTCCTATACTGTTGCACTTCTGTATGTATTATAAAGAATTTTCATCTTCCCAAAAAGGAAGTTTTATGAAAAAAGTGACATTAATGTCCTCATTTATTAGAGTGCTCTCATTCAGCTAATACTGGGGTGTCTGTCTTACATGTCCCAACCTTTGGGTTGGGCTTTTGCAGAGTGAACATTGTTTATTTTGAAACAGGTGTTTATGTCTGTGTTTGAGGAAGTAATTGTGGCTTGATTTTTCCGCACTGTTTGTAATAGCTATTAACACTTATTTTGATTAGTGTGTTAATTTTGAATCATGGGTGTATACAGGCACTTTAGTGAAGAATTTTGAAGTTTCTCCTAGGGCTTTGCTCCTAGACAGGTTTTTAATTTTGGCACACAGCATTACCCAACTGTAGAACTGGACATCAGGAAAACACATTCATTGCTAGGTCAGCTATCATGTCACTGAAAAAAAAAATGTTTATCCCAGTTTCCTTATGTCTTCAAGATAAATAATATCCCTCTGTCTTTGGAAATATGTTTTGAGATCTTTAGGTGGCAGAACACTGTACTAGCCCTTCCTACTGTGTGAGTATAAGAGAATAAAATGTGGTGCATTTTAGTATTGCCAGTAGTTACAACTTAATGAAAATAAAAGCATTTTTAGCAAGGCTGGAAAATTTCACTATCAGTATTTCTTCTTAATGCAACTTCCCAAAACAGGAAGGAGAAAAAAGTCACTCTGAACTGCATACTTCATTAAATACAAATGAAAGGCTATTCCCATTCTTTTTCATAGAGCTTTTCATGAGTAATCATTAACGTCTCATCTTAATAACTTTTCTTCACTTTACAGTAATGTCATGTTTAGTAGGGAGTCATTCTTTGGATCGAGCCTCACAAGAAAACTTAGGTATATACATTCAAGTAACAATTGAGCCTTACTCTTCATATTTCTTGCATGCCATTCTCTGCCTGCAATTTCTGTTTTGACAGCAGTAGTTCATCTAACCACCATGAAAAGTAAGGGAAATAAGAAAGAAACATTACTTAAATATAAAAATAAACTTGCATGACCTTGCAGATAGTTCATTGTTCTGCTGTTCTGAAAACATGGGATCTAGTCATAGCTCTGCCAATGATCTGCTTAGAAACAAGTGCTTTTCACTGTTTTCATAGAATGAAAATGATACTAACCTACTCTGCTAAGCATCTAGAAGTCTGTGGGTGAAAAATATTTTGTAAGAGCTGAAAAACATTTTTT